CGGGAGAACTAGACATTCTGCAATGGCCCACACACTCACAGACACACACACACACACACACACTCACACTCACTTGAGAATCAATTGCCTAAAGTAGTTTTGCTTAAATCGGATAAAGGCTAAAAGAAAAACTTTGACTCTAAATTTGAGTTTAACTGCCGCCGTTTTGGTCCACCCTAATGAGAAACCTCATGCAGCCATTTACGAGCCCAACCTCTATTATTTGCTATAAAATKATGGATGAGCGCGTGTCTATATAAATATAAATATAACATTTATTGTACAATATAAATGAATACATTACGATTATCCACATCTATTTTTATCGATTTTTAATTAAGTAAACAATTAATTAGCAAAGTGTAATCAATTCAATTAAGCAAGTATGCACGGTCGAATTCTTTTCTTCGTATTATATCAACTAATTTTAAAAATAAATAATATATCTATAGATTATCAATTATATCAAAGTAATTCGAATATGCTAGAAACTAAATAGATTATGGTCTATTAAAAATAAATCTCTCATAACTCAGTTTATCGATTTTTGATAATCGACTATCGACAAGATACTAGTTTCATATATCCCTTAATGYCCTAAGATTACTTTTCAACCCACTGACTTCTGCAGCATGCTTCCATTCGTGTCACGTCACGTCACGACACGCTAGCAGCTCTCTTAAGGATTCATTGCTCAGCTCCCACTTGGCCGCCACACTCGAAATATTTCGATTTATTTGAGTAGCGTGGGGAGGGCGGGCGAGTGAGGCGAATGCCTCAATGCTTAGGCAGGCAGAGCTTATAACGTGTCCCAAAAGGACGCAATGCAGTCATTTTTCGCCTCGCCCTCTGCCGTCCCGGCCTTGGGCAATTTTAAAGTCTCTGTTGTGTGAGCATTCAGCTAAATCTGTCAAACAGCAAATACAAACACACAAAATACAAATACAAATACGAAAGTACGGAGTACAAATCCCAAGTACAAGTAAATAATAAAATCAACTTGAAATTCCGTTCGGGTTGTGTTCTCGTAATGTGCCTGAAATTGATTTTCTTCTTGCCAGACAACCAGGCAACAGGGCCGCACAACGGGGGCAAGTGGGGCAGCTCTTAGAGGGGCCAGACGAGGGAGGCACACGTCGCTGGAGTGCATATCCTGCGGGTAAATATTTGGTCAAAATTCGTGAAGGTGTCGAAATGCTGTTTGAACTTTTTCTATACATTTCCTTTCTTTCCTTATTTTTCTTTTCTGAGCTCCAGACGCAGCTGGAAATGTTGTGTTGTGAGACTGAGAACTTCAAGAACTTCAAAGTTGAACGTTTGAATATTTCTCTCTTAAATAGACTTTTTGTTATTTTTAGTATTATTTTTAATGATAACCATTTATTAAATATTCCATTTTTTCTACTTTCATTCCAGATAGTTACAAACAAACTTCCAAGAATATCTGTTGAACAATTTAATCGTGAAGTGGATGTCTGAACTGCTGCTGCTACTACTTGTATATATGTATATATACAAGTAATATTTATGAATGGTAGCTTATCAGACCTTCGAATAGAGGGAAAAGAGAGAAATTGAGTCAAGACCGTAGTATCGCAAGTCTTTGGTGTAGTAGATGAATTCAATGTTATGGTATATAATCGAGATCTATTCAAATCTTGAAAGTTTGAACTGAAACATAGTTGTTTGATCGAAGGCAACAAAGAACTCTATACTTCTTCAGAGTTACACTTAGATATTGGTTACATAAATGCTTAGTCAAATCTAGAATCACAATGTAAATCCCCAGCCAAAAAGTAAGTTACGCTGCTACTTGCTAAAAATAAAGCTCATATATATCTTCCGATTAGAATATTTTTGGAATGATGGATCCCGCAAAGTCATCGTAAAATTTATAGAGAACAACTTGATTCTCCCCAAACTGCATTGATATCCCCTTTTTATTTGGGAGAATCTTTTCTCATCAAAAGTTGTTAGTATTTCGCGATTCGTCTTCCAGGCCTACTATATAGACGCCTTTTCGATAAAAGTTGTTATCGCATGTTTGTCGAAGCTCAAAAACTCTTTCCCAGTCAAGATAAGGCCTTACGCTGCTATCTGAATTCCCGAATAGATGCCATGACTGAAAATTATTACAGACAAACAACAGAGCAAAAATTAAAAAAAAATATATATACAAAAAAGTAAAGCCGCTAAATCAATAAAAGTTTCGATGGCTTAATACGAACCGGAAAGCGCCCTTGCGCGGCTCTCAATGCCAGTTGGCGACAGTCGCTAAGTCGCTAAGCTCTACAAAATATGCCGACATTCCTTTTCTTTCTTCTTCTGCCTTTTTTTTTTTTTTTTGTATTTTTTGGGAACTATTTTGTTTGTTCTGTGTTGCATTGGCTGGTTGAAGGCATTTTTATTGACTTACTTTCGAGTGGCAAACGCAAAACTTTTGCGCCCAACTATTCGCAATTTTTTTTCGCACTGTTCAAAGTGCTTATAATATATATACATGTATATACATATATATGAAAATATATATGTGTACATACATATATTTGGCGATTACAAATGAGATTTATTCGCCATTTCCGGCTGCATTAGAGGAAGTGCATTGCCAACTCGAGTGTGCGGCCATAAAAATGCCAAACGGCGCGTGGTTCGAATCGCGCACCACAAAACCTTTTGCCCACTAGCTGTGACACACACACACACACACACACACACAAACACACAAACACACATATTCTCATACATATATTGCCTGCATTTTTGTCGCATTAACCAACTATTTTCTTTGCTCTTTTCGTTTGGCCTGGACGAAGTTGTCAACGCAAATGGCGCGCCGCAGGACCACGCCTAATGCACTTTTGATAGGCGCCCCGGAGACCGCCGAGGAGTGGTCCACAGAGGGGCCGAGAGAGGGATGGAGAGAGAAGAGACATCAGCAGTTAGCTGAATGTCCAAAACAGCAGCCATTGATAAATTATCATGTGGACATCGGCAGAGGAGATTTTTCGAGCCGTCATCAGGTGCAGCTGCTTGATAAAAAAAAGATAGAAGCACGAAAAAAAAGGAAATTTAATCTATTTTAAATGTGGTTTATGGTACGGTGCGACCGGATGATGGTTCACAACGACCGTACAGTTTTTTCAACGGGTCGGTGGGACTTTCGTCCGTTTGTAACGCCATTTGTCAACGATTTATCAGCAAATCAGATATCAGCAATCAAAGGTGTTTATTTATGGCTTCAACTGTTGTTCATAATTAATTAGTTATTAATATGCGTTCAAACAGTGCGGTGTTTAATTCAATAAAGCTATCTAATTTACTTGTATATTCAATGTGTTTCATTACTTGATGGGCGGGCAATACTTTTAAGAGCGATATGAAAAAAAAAAAAAAAAAAAAAAAAAAAAACTGGAATAATTTCTAACTTGATTTGATTGGCCTTGGCTGTGCTTGGAGTTTTACTACTTCGCTGACCAAGATGAGGAAAGGTAAGCAATTAAGTCAGGTAGCTTAATATCTCAGCAATCCCTAATGCATACGGCCTTGAGTGATACGAAGACAAAGGGAAAGCACTGAGCGCTGAGGTGAAGTTGCTAAAGGAGATGAGCCAAAAGATACTCACCACAGAAACTGCCCACACTGCGTCTTGCTTTCAAGTTGAGCGCAAAAGTTCTACTGTCATGTGCTCTCACTCTCTTTCGCTCTCACTCACACGCAGTCTGTAGACGCCTGCGCCCTTTGCAGTAAACAAGATCTGAGCAAGACAAGAAAAAATTGCTGCTCATGAGCGCGTTTGTTGTTGTGGTTGATTTTTGTTTCGCCAACTAACCAAATAAAGCCAAATAACCGTAAGTAAAGCTCCGGCAAAGCGCTACTCCAGTGCCTAAAAGCTAGCAGCTGCATTATTAATGCTGCTCGCCTGGTCAAAAACTAAGCAAATCAACATAAAATTTGGTATTCAACTGGAAATAAATATCCGCAGGGCATGAGCAGTATAAAAACACTAATTTAAATTAGCCAAAGCTGTTTTGCTGCAGCATTTATTGAAGTGAAACACCAGGCTAACAGAAGCGACAACAGCGAGCTTTGCCTTTGATTTAGGATGCGCACACAAAGCTTCAAGCGCAGCTGAGAGCTGAGTGAAAGCTGAGTTCAAAAGCACTGCACACAGCTAATTTTATTTTGAGTCATCTTGATTGAGCTTTACTCTGACAGCTTTGCGCACTCGTCTGCTAATTATTCGCGTTGGCAGTGTCAACAGAAGGAACAGCGCGATCGCAGATAACAGCAGCTCTTGCTGTTCGCCTGGCATTGAGTTAGGAAATACCAGAACCTACTGGAATGAATCCAATTAGATAGAAGAACTCCAGTAGAGAATATTTTTTATTTACGTGCAAGACGACTTAAGTAACGAAAGGGAAATTTTTAAAATTTTTGTATTCATTTATTGATTTATTTTATAGTAATTGCATATTTGAAAACAATTGATAATATCGTGTTGATGTTTTTCGAACTGAAACTTAACAAATTAAAAAAATAGATATCTTGGTTTCACAAGTAACAAGAATTTGATGGCTTAGCCTAAACAAAACATGATTATTATGAAACAACGCATAATCTATTATTTTAGTTTTATTATTATTATTATTGTTTGACTGACAATTGCACAATATTTTCGTTATTTTTCCATGTCTTTTTTGTTTTCTTATATTTTTGATATAACACGCAGTTAAAATTAGATAATTGCAAAAAATATATATTTATATAAATAATTTGACTATTGACTAGGGATAAATTTGTAGTATTTGTTTTGTTTTTGCTTTCTTTTGCTAATTCGCTAATATGTATATTTGGAATATATATGTGTATATATTTAATGCAGCATTTCAATAATAAATAGATTTTTCAATTTGCACTGGGCGTCTACTTAAAGCATTAATTAAAACCAATTCTATTTTAAAAATTCATGAATTTCTCTCCTCAATTTCAGTTTTCCTTTCCTTTTGATTTGTGGTTTTTGAATGGGGCGAGATTCCTTTCGTTAAGTGATGAAGCCGCAATTCGCCGCTTAGCTCTGCGCTAGTGGTTCGCGACTTATCCACAGCTGGTTCTAAACTAGACTACAAACAAGTTTCTTCGATTGGCAAGACAAATTCTCATTCTCGATAGCGAGTGCGAGTGAGAGTGAGAGTGAGAGTGAGAGCGAGAGAGTGTAAGAAATAAAGAGAGAGCGTGTTTAGGGCAGCAAGAGTATCTACGTTATATAGAGCTCCACGCAGGAATTGCTCACAATGGGCGAGGCGTTCACTGTAGCATTTGGGCTGCCGGTTTTCAATGCGGGCGTTGGCACACTAGCCGTGTGGTTCGTGTCCGGGCTAAGCAACGGCGGCGGTGTCGAATTCGCCCTCACGGACTGAGCAGGCGTAACAGCGGCAGCTACTTCGCCCCCATTCACAATGGGCACTGGTGTCGACGGCTGCGATACACTGGCGGTATGAATAGTTGGCGTGGCTGTTAATTTGTTGCTATTGTTGCTGCTATTGTTGTTGTTGTTGTTGGATGGTTGTTTTAGTGGCACAAATGGCACGGCATTCTTGTTGGGCGTGAGTATGATGCCGGCATTGGGCGGTGAGAGCGGCGAGGGTGGGAAAAAATCCATCGGATACTGTGAAAAATATAAGTAAATAAAAAGTTAAACAAATAAATAAGCATCATTTCAAATCATGATAAAACAGCGACTAGAATTTCAAGTTAATATGCAATTAAATCTAAGTTTGTATGAAACATTTACTTTGCACGATAATGGTCAATCAATCATTTGACTTTATTGCCAACTTACCATAGCCTGATGCTGAGAGGGAGAATGCGCCCCTGGCTGGCTGTAGTACGTGGTGGGCGATACGGGTGGACTGGGATACGGCCAGTAGACGAGGGGAGGCGGATAGAATGCGGAGGCATGATGATGATGGTGGTGGTGATGGGCATGCGCATGGGCGTGGGCATGGGCATGGGCGTGGTGCGCACGGGGCGTGGCCAGCAGCGGAGAGTGATGCGGCGGCTGAGGTGCGCCATAAGCCGGAAAGTGAGCACCGAAATGCGCGCCCAGTACGGTGGTACCTGTCGAAGCAATATGGAATAGATTAAAATCCGGAGACGTAATTTCAAGATAAAACTTAAAGAACGAGAATAAAATAATTGAAAGTCAGTGTTGTGAGTATGGCTGGGTATACTATAACATTTTTCTTTTCAATTATAAGCGGAGCGGTATAGTGTGTTAGTCTCGAAGAAGAGGAAGAAGCCAACGGTAAGGATAAGAGAAAGCAAACACACAAGATGTAGAAGGGAAAGAAAAAGTTCAGACTGGAGTTGAGAGTTGCGTTTTAGTAGATATTGTTGTACTTGTTAGGGTTAGTTCAGATACGTTGTTAGTGCTCTTATCTGTTAAATCATTTATCGTTTATCACAGTTATTCAAGTTAAATATAATCGTATTCAAAAACACTCACCGTTTAGACATTTGCAAAATATGGTAGAGTAGACATGTAGTATAAAGTAATTGTAATTTGATTTTGAAGGTATGTAAAATTTAAGCATAAATATATATGTGAATATACACATACATATTCCTACTTATATTTATACATATATATTTACCAGTTTACCCAGAGACCATGAATACATTTTGCGCACATAGTAAACTTTAAAACATGTTTCTATCCCGTTCAGTTTTTGCATTTTTGATTTTTTGTTTAATCCAAGCACCAACCAGCCTTCAAAAATGTAATAAAAAAAAAATTAAGTAGAAACCAGGTACACACACACACACATAGAGAGAGTGAGAGAAAAAGGGCTGGACCATGGACAACAACGACGGCGTATGTGTAGAGAGTCAAGTTATCGTTATCGTTATCGTTAGATCATGGTACAAACAAATATATATGCGATTACAGTTAGGTCTAGGAGAGCACAACCAGCTCCTCAACGAGTTACACAAAAGCAGCAGAGGACCAGTTTGAATTGTTATCGGTAATTTATCGATGATTATATAAACACTTGTCGCTAATTAATCGATTGGTTATCAATCGCAGGTTTACAATTAATTTTTTACAAGTTATCTACCGACTACGTCAATCGATATCCTATTGTTGTTCTATGAAATTTTTGTTTATCGATTTCTTATCGACTGCTGCTTTGATTGCTCATAATGCTTGATTGATGATTGTAGGCCAATAACAGACTATAGCTTATAGATTACGTAGTTAGTTAGCTGATCGATTTCTTATTGGCTGTTTATCAGATTTGATTTGATTGCTTGGCGATAGCTTTCCAATTTATCGTTTCATTGTTACATACAAGATGAGTGTGTCTATAGAAGAAAGCTAGGTGGTATTAAAGATTACGTTTTACATTTTATTAGATGCTTCCCATCAGACGTTACGCAGTTGCACTCACGTACAAGAGAGACAAAAATGTATATAGACCATAAAATTTCCAAATCCGAAATAAGTCACCTATCAATTTCAACACTTTAGCAACTCGTAACGCCATCAAAAATTACATAAAGCACCCGCTGCGGCCACAGAGACAAGAGCCCAGAGAGGATGCGCCTGAAAATGTGTGTAAAGCTAGACCCAAGCCCCGACCCAAGAGTTACAAATACGTATATCTCAACAGAAAGAGAGAGAGAGAGATAGAGTGATGAGAAGGAATCGATTCAACCATTTCAATTGACATTAATAAATTGATCAGGATATATAAAGAAGATATCAAAGAGATAAGAAAGACTTTATGTTGACTTTAAGTGGCATGAGAATTGCAAAGAGAGGTCGATAGCTAGGAAGAGATATAAGATTGGCGAGCATTCATAGATATGCAGGTAGCGAAATGTATATTTATTGAAGTATAAAAATTTGTTGTAATAAAAGTTCGATTGTCTCTAGGCTAAATATCAAAAATATTTGTTTTAGGTGCTAAAGCTAATTAAGTTATTCCAAATGTATTTGTTTATTATAAATGTTATTAATCAAATTGTTGTTGTATTTTTGTATTTTTTTTTTTTTTTTTAAGTGGCTGCTTATGAGTTTTATTCTTTTGTATGGAAGCCATAGATCGTAAATGTATGTATATTGCAGAAAAAACCCATGGAGAACCACTCGATTGTCGTATGAACTAGGAGTTAACTAACAATTTAAATATTTTAGATGCTAAGCCATAAAAATCTTTCCCATGCTTTTTAATTCAATTTTGTATGTTTTATCCGTTTATTTATATTGAAATGCAAGAAGCAGCGCAAAACTGTTTGTTAGACGCAGAAGAGGAGTTAGGATCGGTAAATATTTGTTTATATGGATATATATAAATTTATGCAAATATCTATATTTTATGTTTGGTTCTCTGCTCGGCACAATTCTGGTTTATAAAGTGCGATCTATAGCGCCCAGTAAGAACATATACAATTACCTTTTAAAGACATACAGACATACTATATATAATTGTATTTTGTAGATATATACTTAGAGCATAAACCCAAAAAATATCCATAACCATATATATAAATATATATAAAAAGAGATATGTCAGTTAACTATATATCAAACACTAAAGCGCTAAGAACGTACAAATGAAACAAAAGCAGTTTGGGAGTAGCTCGAATAATACATATGTATATAATATACGAGCATCTGATTGGTAGAGTCAGAGTGGCAGATATATAGAGAGATAGAGAGAGGGAGAGAGTAATAAAAGGGGATTTTGACTATAAACTAAAATTAGTGATGACAGAGAACACACAGAGTTGATATATATCGATAGAATTTCCAATTTGCGACTAACACCAGTTACGCACACTTATCGGCTAATGGTATACATATAACGATTTACGATATACGATATACTCTCTATGTATATGCGTTGATCATTGATTTTAAAATACGTCCAAAATCAAATTTAAAATTCCATTTATAATGAGTTTCGAGTGTTAGAGACCTTCCACAGCTGAGCACTGCGATCTGCGCGAACCCATAATGAGCATATGTAGGATATAGTATATAGCATATCGGGATTACATTTACGATATTGATGTGTGAGCGTGTTGTCGCCCAGATCGCAGTGCAGTGGCTGTGGCAATAGCTACAGGTGGCCACAGGAAAGTTTTCTAGTGCTTAGTTCCACTTTCTTTTTGTTGTTTTTAAATATTAATCAAAAATGTTTTGTGTAACCAACCAATTTTACAAGTTGTACGACTTAAAGCTAGGGTATTCCATTATTATTATTATTATTATTTTATATGGTATATATGTGGCATATACGAATAGCGCTTGGCTTTAAGCTAAAATGTTTTTTTTTTTTTTTGTTTTTTTTTTTTTTTTTGAGTTTTGAGTTTTGCACATTTTGTTTTAGGTTCGATTTTTTACGCATGAGCCAACACCTGATGCCCTTCAGGCAGTGAGCGCGTGTGGGTGTGTGTGTGTGCCTTTGCTTAAATAATAATTTTTAAATTGCACTTAATGGGCGTGGCACCCACACATACACGTTCAGATACCAATAGATTGACGGAAGCACGCAGCCAACGCTCGCTACCTGAAGGACATTAGCCTCTGTTGTTGAAGTAGCGCTTCGCACACGCATACGCACATACACACATAAACACCCGCACATACACACATACACACAAGCACATACACATTACACTTAATAGTTAAATATTATATAGCTTACGAATCAGCTTCATTACTTTTTAGTTTACAAACAATTTGGAAGAAAATCGAGAAACAGACGAAAACAATTTTGCTTTGCACATTTGTTAGCTTGCCCGGGATGTGTTTGTGTTTGTATTTGTGTGTGTGTGTGTGTCTGTGTCTGTGTCTATGTGTGTGTGGGTAGGGTGTATGCCGTATGTGTGCGTGTTCGTGTGCGGTGTATAGATATAGATATACAGATATATGTAAGTAATGCTTAGACCTTAAACAAACTCCTTACTTTTCGTTTGACTTACGACTACGAAATTTCACTATAAAAATTTACAATTAGAAATGTCTGGTATAAGTGTGTGAGTGTGTATATGTGAGTGTGTGTTGATGTATGAGTTGCCAAGATGAGCAATGGAATGCACATGTACATATATAGGGTAGATATACCCTATATACCCATATCGCCACTCAAAATGCATTGCAAGAGCCGAAGATGAAAAGCAATCAATCTTGATTGAGGGCAAACTAGGACCCTCTAAGTGTATGAAATATGTGTGAATATATAACTTGGAATGTATTTGAAGAGTCGGAGCTTCATATTGTTAGAGTTCCATTGAAACTGGATTAAGTAATATGCATGAAGTATGCATCAATCATGACATAATAAGAAGGAATTGAATGATTGACAGAAAAGAGTTAATAACCTATTAATCAAATTTGTTTGATCAAKTGAATTWAAAACTAAYAGAAAAGAACTTCTAAGAGCAAGTAAATCAATCATGATTGATTTTAAATATCGATCAATTAAAAACCATTCAAATATGATTGAAGTGTAAGAGAAATAATCTAAGCGGAATAAAAATTGATTGAGTACATTCAGTAATCAATAATGTTCATGTCCAAAATTTCAGTATCTATCATCAATCATCGATCATCATTCATGATGGTGAGCAACTAAATGCCTGGATTATAGTAGGAGTAGACGCTACTGGGCGCTCGGGTTAGGGCGCGCTTGGCAGCACTCGCTGCAGCCGCCGCCCCAGCCGGATCCTGCTGAAAGGCATTCTCATAGGAGCGCTTCATGGAGTGCGATTGCAGCGCAAGGGCCGCATTGCCCGCTGCCGCAGCGCCCGGCGCACTGGCACCCGCTGGCACCCCAGCGGCCGCGGCGGCTGTGGAGGCGCCTGGGAACGGATAGCCCGCGGCGGACATGTAGCCCATGGGAAAGGGCTGCATATAGGGGCGCTGCATGAACACAAACTGCGGCTGGCCGCCCATGGCAGCGGCGGCGGCAGCGGCAGCGGCCCCCGGGTGCTGCATGTACAGCTGATGCGTTTGCAGCATGGCGGCGTTGGCATACAGCTGCTGCTGCTGCTGCTCGGCGGCTACGGCGGCCGCTTGCTGGCGGGCCAGCAGATTGTGCTGCGCTATGAACTGCGCCTGCTGCTGGGCGAGCAGGGCGGGATTGGACGCGGCAGCAGCCGCAGCGGCAGCGGCGCCGGCAGAGGGCGGCAGCGGAAGATTGAAGGGATAGCCGGCATGTGAGGCGGCGGTAAGGCCACCCTGGGCCAGGGCGCTGCTCGACAGAGACGAGTGGCTGGACATGGTGGCCGGGGCTGTGGCACTCATGAAGCCAGCCAAGCCGCTAGCCGTGCCCGCCGTGAGCGGAGCGTGGGAGGTGGCGCCCATTAGGCTGGCCGCAGCAGCGGCCGCGGCCGCCGGCGACGTTTGCAATGCATGATGAGCGGCAGCAGCAGCCGCCGCAGCAGCTGCTGCAGCGTGTGGGTGTGCGTGCGCATGCGTGTGTGTGTGCGAGTGTGGGTGTGTGTGCGAGTGTGAGCCGATGCCCTGAGCGCCGGTGGGTGGCGGCGGCGGTTGAGCTAACATACCCGGAGAGAGCAGCGACGGTTGTTTGCCTGCAGCAGCGGCGGCGGCGGCAGCGGCAGCAGCAGCGGCCAAATGGGCGTGGCTGGGATGAGGCGGTGGCGCCACCGGCGAGGCCAAGCCGCCATTCAGCACATGATTCATATCATCGCCAGAGCACTGGAAGACCTCGATATACCGGAACTTCTTGCCAAAGACCATGAACTGATTGTGCTTCCGCTGAGCGCAGAGGCGCGCCGAGTCCTCCGAGTCCATTTGGATAAAGGCCTCGCCACTGGGCTGGCCCTGAAAGAGATCCCCATTATATATATTTAAGCAACAATTATCTAAATTCATTTGCATAGCTTCACATTCGTGAACCTTCCAGAAATGGATCGAGATGATCCCGTTCGCTCACCTGCGCATTGATGACCATGTGCACGCCCTGGTAGATGATGTGCTTGGCAAAGTCGTCCAGAAAGTGCAGAATGTGCTCCACCATCGCCTCGTAGGGCAGGCCGCGCAGTCGAATGCAGTTCTTGGTGGTGCCCGAGGTGATGAGGTGCTGTGGGGCATGGGTAAGTGGGGGGCACAGGTTAGCGTGGCTAGCGTTAGCTGTCAGCGGGTTGAGGGCGTGGCCAGCAGCGGCACCCACCTGCGGCAGCAACGGCAACTGCATGGTGGGCAACTGTGCTATCAGCGGCGGCTGGCCGTGGTTGTTCGACTCGTAGGTCTTCGGGTCCATCGATCGATTCAGCACCTGCTGCACCTCCGCCGTCGTCGAACGGAATAGCTCGATGTACCGCTGCCCGATCGACTCGCGATGGCGTCCCAGCGCCTTCGGCGAATCGCTCTCGTTGGCAAATAGCACAAAGGCATCGCCCGTGGCGCGTCCATCGGGCTTCTTCACAAAGAGCACGCCCTCGCTGCCGTCCAGCACGTGACAGGGCGACTCGCCGGTGGTAAAGAACTCCAGCTGCAAGAGCAGAGGGAGAAGGTGAGTATATTCTGAATGAAGGAGCAGATTCGAGAGTCATCTCATCTCAGCCACACACTTACCACTTGCTTTGGCGTGCAGTCGTAGGGCAGTCCGCGCATGCGTATTATCACCTGTGCGCCCTTGGAGAGGAACGCCTGCGCCTCGTTCGAGGCGCCGCCGGCTATGGCCAGAAAGTCCTCGCCCGATGCGCGATACACCTCAATATAGCGCGAGCCGATGTGATGCTTATGCCGCTTCAGAGCCATGTCGCGATGCTCCTGAGAAACGAAGCGAATCAAAGCCTCTCCGTTGCGCCGGCCCAGCGGCGAAAGGCACAAAGCAACGCCGCCTCTGCATGTGCATGAATAAGGGAGAGAGAGAGAGTGAGAGTCGAGCGGAGAGAAGGGAAGAGTACAGTGGGTTTAATGAAGAGCGCATATGATAAAGAAAATTCTGGCAAATAGCTAAGAATTTCATTGGTCGTCGGCCGTAATCTGCCGCCGACCCGCTGAACTTTGATAAGCTGCGCGTCGAGCACAGCTTATCAATGGGTTACGTCGATCTCTGTGAGTATACAGAGGGTACAATGATTTCAGAACGAGACATGGCAAGGCATCTATTCTCCATAAATTTGAGTGAAGGAATATACTCTAGAGAGCATAAAATACATAATTGAAATACCCCTATATATAAAGACCTCTAATCATAGAATGTACAATAGATTCTATTCGATTTTGTAGAGAATATAAGTGATGAGGATTAAATCTCAAGTTTAAATTTAAAAAAAATCCGTAGTCTTCAAATATATTTCAAATTCAACTTTAGCTCTTCTCATGTGCTGCAATCTTTGCTAAGCCTTAAACAACTCTGAGTTGCTCTGCTATTTGGAAATCTTAATCATCAATCAATCAAATTCTTTGATTGAGCATTTATTTATGCCATGTCAAACTGACTCAATTTAATCTAACATACAATTTAAACAGCTCATCGTATAATAGAAAACTATTATCAAATAGCAACCATATCAAAATTCATTGAATTCAGTCACTCGCTGTTTGCAATGCGATTCAGTGTAATGAAACTTCGATTTCGACCAATTTTAGATTGCTATAGGAGCTCAATTTTCCCGCTACTCACTTGGCTACGTTGAGTCCGCGAAAGAACTTGGCTATGTCCTGATCGCTGCTCTGCCAGGGCAAACCACGAGCACGCACGATGCAATTGCCGTCCACCTCGTCGTCAATTGAGCTGTAGGAAGAATACCAGAAGGAATGCAAAGTTCAGTTTCAGTTTACAATTTCAGTGAAATTCGTTGTAAAGTAAGAGGAGCTAAGCCATATAAATATATATTTATAAATGTGTTTGCTTGTATATAGAAGCTACATTTGACAAATTCCAAAGCTGTGCCCTGTAATAGACTTGGGCGTCTGTGGAATTTTGTATACCGAGGTATATAGTTTTTAAGTTTCTTCTCTGAAGTCACGTTTCGTTCTTTCAAGAACATAAACATTTTTGCTGACTTTTCACACACACACACACACACACTGAGGCTGTCTCAACACAAACAAACAAAAACATGAATAATCAGAAGCAGCAGCGACAGCACAAATGTTGAAAAACAAAAAGTCAAATTTAATCATAATTTTGTGGCACATAATCTGAAATGGCATTCGAGACTGTTTTGCACTGATTTGCCTTACCTGAACGCTAATTGGAATTGTTTTTAATGGGTTTTTATTTCAGAGTTTTGCCTCCCAGTAGAGCTTCTTACTCTATTTATGTGACACACTTATTCGTCGAGCTAAAGATTATGGCAAACGTGTTTTTACTTCACTTCATTTTCATGTGTTTGTTTTTTCTTTTCGCCTTCTTATTCTTCTTCTTCTCCTTTTTCAGCGATAACAATAGTCACAATTCATCAGGAACTCTCACAATTCGATGCGTTTCTAATTTCCTACACTTGAGAGATGGGCCTCGGCTACGAGTTCTTATCGCGCACCGATCCAATCGCCGACTGAGCCGCGATCCGTTCCACGATTTTTGTCGCGACGCTTGGCTCACAGTCAGCTCTGAGTAATATTTATTTTTCTGAATGGTCTTATTTTTTAAAATATATAGTCTTTCTCATTTGCTTGTATGTATGTTGAGTGTTTTCGGGCTGGGGCTGACTTGAAATAGTGCAGACATAAACACAAAGCTGGAGCGTCGGAAAGACTGCCTGCTGCTCGAGAACTGAATGTCTAGAATGACTCTGGAGTGCCTGAAATTGAGACTCGGAGTGCCACTCAAAGAGTGAGACATTGAGTGAGTCTCGCTGAATGAGAGAGTGTACAGTCAAGCGAAGCGAGGCAGGTACTGAATCAGTCTCTGAAGTGCTCTTACACAAATTGAGTGAGCGCTACCTTAGGTACACAGTGAGTTATCGCATATGATATTTGATTTTGTATTTTCACTGATATTATTTCCTTTAATATAGACATAAATATATATACAAATATGATCTGAGAGATCCAAGGAGATCTAAACTAAATCCATTCAGTAAGTAAGTAAAACTCCAATCAACTTAACATTTAGAAAAATGAATATTTTGCATACTCTCATTTGGAATGCCCTAAATAAAGTGTCTCGCCCTAAGCTATACAATTTTAGTTTAATAAAGATCTTTCTCAATCCTTGACTCTACCCTAACAACACAATAATTAAGGGTTTGGCTACCTGAAAATATTTAATTTGAATTCTTAAACGCTAGCTGGAATTTAGTCTAATATTTAAATATTTTGCTGCTCACTTCTATTAATAATTAAATATATTTTATATAAATGAAATAAAAAATATGTTTCAATGAAATTTACTTAATAATGATTAGATAAAACGTTGTAAATTTTATGCCGAATCGATAATCTTTATAATCAGTAAATTGCATAGTAACTAGCTAAATCTAATTGATCTGTTTCTTGAGAAAGCTGTAGACAATATTACTGTGCGAAGCGAATAAGATTGATGGCTCTATATACTCTAATGCTCCAGCATTTTAGTCATTTAAAACATATACACAAATATAATATATATATACTATTATAAAGTGAATGCCATATCAAATTGGCAATTGACATATGAAGAAATTAAATTCGGCATAAGTAAATGCGGAATGTAAAATTTACTTAAGATACGGCCGAAATTTCTCAAAATACAAATGTAAATAGTCTCTTTGGTTCTTGATTAAAAAAGTTATTTCAAATTAATTCGTACCCATCTATGCTTCCTTCATTTCATTCCTTTTTCCATTATCGAAGTAGATTTTCTCCGTGAATATGATCACTTATTTAATAAATTATTTATTTGCGGTTCTATTCCGGTATTTATTTTTTTATTTACTTATACTTGTATTTGCATACAAAATACAAAACTAATCGGATAATTAAATCCAGTCAAATTTTTTTCATATACAAATACAAATAATATTTTATTATTATGATAATAATTCAAATTAATAATTTTATTATTTATTATTTGAATGTGAGTAACAGAATCAACTTTTACTATCTCTTTAACTAACTAATTTATTTCAACTTACCAAATTCCAGGCTCCAGCACAAGATTTACGACTTCATTAGTATCAAACTTATGACCTAAAGTAAAACATACATAAATGTAAGTTGTTTCTCAATTAAAAACAAAAAACCCAAACTAAACTCACCCGCCTGAAGCAATGATTGAATCACAGTGACCATATCGCGAGATTCGCGAATATAGAAATCATTATCTTCCACAGGTGTTGCATTCAGCTCTGCATAATGGAGATACAAAAGAAATCATTAGCGAATCGAGGTCAGATGGAAAACAATGCAAGCTCACCTTTAAGCATTTCGCCAATGGACTGCGGCATGGGCAGCACAGGTGACTGCAGCATCTTCTTGATGTCCTTCAGTGGAACGAGGGCACGCGATAGATCGCCCGACTTATAGCGCTGGAACTCTTTGCGCAGATCACTGAATCTGTTGTAATAGGCAGGCAGCTCCACATCCTTGGCGCAGGCCTCCCGATGCAGACATTGACGCAACGGCAGCTGCCCATCGGTGATCAGCTTGATCTCTGTATCGTGCAGCGATAAGGACCGCAGATATCCATCGAACTACAACGACAAACATACGGATATAAATCAAAATAAATTCTTCTTCTTCTTTTGTATGTGGAATATTTCAGATATATTGCCATCTTCGATTTATCCAGGTCTATCAATAATAAGTCATGGAATTTACGTTTCTTATTGCATAAGATCAAATCTTTAACTAGAGAAAAATCAATAGATGAACATAATTTTAGAATATATATAAGTATATTTAATAGTCGGCATTATACCTCTTTCGAGTATACATTTATCATTATTATACCCAAAGAATTAGCTCTTTATATGATAAAAACCTGATTCCTGTTTTTAATTAAATGGGAAATACACAGATTTTTATATTATGTATGAAAATAAGTTATAATTGTTTTGTGAAAATATATGTAGCACACTGAAGGAGGCGTGGCAGAACCCATAAGCTTCTTATAGGTTTGATCAAGCTGAGATGATCTAGATCTATCCGTCTGACCGTTCGTTCAAATTGCACGAAATTTGATTTATTTATTTATAAAATTACTATTGATAATAATAATCGATAATAATAACAATATTGGCCCATTCTAATTATTTTCATTTTGTATTTATTATTGATGACAAGATTATTTTCTACCGTAAAAAAAAATTCCTGCATATTAAGATGACTGAAGGTTTTTTTTTTTTTTTGTAGTTTAGACTTGAATTAAATATTTCCAAAATATGAGAAATAAATTTCACGAATGACTTTTATTATTTTGTATAATTAATATTATCAGCTAAAACATTCCTAACAAATATTATATTCAATCAATACGAAATGAATGAACTGTTAATTGAGTAAAACCCCGACATTCTATATATGAATATGAACATATATGGATATATTTAGTGCAAATTATAACAATGACGCTGACAATAAAACCTCAGTCAAAACTCAAAGTTCAACGGTTAAGAACTGACGAAAGGTTTGTGGGGATTATTTGGCTCTATGCTAATTCTTTTGGTGCAATTTTCTAGGTTACGAACGCAATTTGTTTAAACCCGTTTATTATTTGTTGTTGCTGATGATGATGTTGTTGTTGTTGCTGCTGTCGCTGCTGCTGCTGCTGCAATTATTGTCAATTACATGGAAAATAAATAACAGAAACAAAAACAAATCGTTTTAGCTATAGTTTTATAGTGTTTTTTGTGCCATGTCATCGTGAGTAAACATAACAAGCAGCTTTATGTCGCATTAGCTCGGGTTAATCTCTGAGTAGAGCTTGTCTCTGAGCTAGCCCTGAGCGCCCTCGGAGCTTGCCTTCGAGCCTCCTCTCAGCTGACCGGGCCCTATGCAACGGCGCTCCCCTGGGCAAATATTTGCGAGAACAGCGATCTCGTCATTTAATAGCCAAGTGTGTATTGACCAGGCAAATTAGTATGCCAGCCAAAGCAGACGCTCACAATAGCCGACAGCTTTACGCGCTTTCCCTTTCCCTTTGCCTTACTCTCCCTCTCCCCCTCACATACTCTCTCTTTCTTTCTTTCACTATCACTCTCTCTCTCTCTCTCTTTCTCTCTGGCATTACGTCACGTGTCGCTTACGGATCGGCTGCCAAAGTTGCATTCATATACATATATATGTATAATACGACATCTAATTGACGTACATTCGTCAACACACTCCATAAAGTAGATTAATGACACTCGGGTGCATAGTACAGCAGCGTCTTAATGATCCAAGTTAGTTAGGCATCTCTCTAGTTGAGAGATTATAGAGTTCATTAGGGTATTCAGTTGGAGGTCACACGCAAGCCTCATTCTAATTGTTAAGTATTGGATTTATTATGGGCTTCGATTTCATGACTACGACAATGCTAATACTCTTAGAGTCACTCTATATACATGATATTAGATGAAAAGAAAGTAGTCATAAAAAATAGAATAAATAACTATGTTAATGATTTTCAAATCTTCAAAAATAAAATAATTTATCTGGCATTTCTCATTTTCCTTATCACGCAAAATAAGGTCTTATCCTCTTATTGTATGTTAAGCCTATATAGATTCTATATTTAATTTCTTAACTTCCCTATATGACGAGCTTCACGTGCTGAATGTAGAAGATAAAGTTTTACGCCGACTGACCATTCACGCAATGGTCATAGAAAGATCCACCAAATATTCGTCAATGCGCGTTTATATTCAAAGTTTCATTTGCCATTTAGTTAGTAACGATTCTAAGATAGCAGATATAGTATGATTCCATTTGCCACGCCTTTAGTGGGTGTATCAGCAAAATCCTAAAAGTTTTATCAGGCAAACATTCCAAATTTCAAGTTTGTAGACTCTCATTCACTACGTGAATGAATATAAACGGCTCAATATCTAGGTTTATAACCAAACACTTAAAATTTATATGTGCGATATGCATAATTAGTCATTGGAATAATCAGTTGCTCTGATTTTAGTTAATATAGTTCATGAACGTTATTTCATATGCATATAGCACACACGTGAATGTAACACCGACTGCTGCACCCAAGTTTACAATACCCATACTCCGATCTGAGAGAATCTTTATCTACAACATCTACTTGGTGCTACATCGGTATTTACTATACAATCGTTTACATTTCCGTAACGAGAAATCGTGAACAAGGGGGACCGCGGAGCTTGTCGAAGTGCTCAAGTAGCGGCGCAACGTACTGCTTATCAGAGAGTCTGATAAGATTTCAAGTCGAACGCTTCCATAGCTCCCAATCAGTGGCGTTGTCCAGGGGCGAAAGAGAAACACGAAACCTAATGGGCAAATGCAATCCCCAGTGACTCTACGAGAAGAAACATCCCAACGATTCCAGTCCGTATGAGTTATTGAATAATTTATGGCGTTCCCTTATCTTTGGATCTACGAATTTTCCAGTCTTAGGCTGGCGACTAGTCCAGATCGAAGATCAGCTGGGATTATCACATGGACTGTGAATAAAAATAGAATAGCGCGTGCTCTGGTAATCTCTTTCTCCCTGTTACCCTATATCACTCTCTCTTTGTCTCTCTTTGTCTCTCTTTGTCCATTGCTCTTACCTTATCACACTCAATCTGACACCGTTTCTCTCACTCGCTCTTTCTCTTGTGAGTTTGCCTCTTATACACTAATCTTATCTGAAGCGCTCACTCGACTCCCACGCGCGATAGCTGCGAACTGTGAAGTGTGAATTATGTCCCCTTCTATATATTGCACGTCTGACACAGTCACTTTATTTCGTCTGATCTGTAGCCTTCCTTTACCAAATATATGTCGCATTTTTTCAGATTTTCAACTTAATTACTCTATCATTTTGTTTTCATTCTGCTTTTTTTTTCTTTGAGGATTCCGCCTCCTTCATACTGCTCTCGTTACCCGCTCTAATCCCCATATCTTATGCTCGCTGACTTTATCCTTTTTGGCTCAGATATACCGTTCCTATTTATATCCACCTTAAGCCCGTTATTCTCTCTCTCTCTCTCTCTCTCTCTCTCTCTTTCTCCCAGTTTTTCTCTCTCCCTGTCGATCTCTTGAATTATATAAAGTTCATTCCTTGCTCTCACTCAGACCTCTCTCGTTNTGGATATGCATGTAATTGCCAAAGCACAAGTCTCTAGTATTTGAAATACGCTTTTTACAAAAGTGAGGGTGAGGGGGTGAATTTAAGGGTGGGGGGTAAATTTTAACAAAAACCGAAATTGTATAAATTGCATATAAGCATACATTAAAAATTTGGAGACTCTAGCAATAAAGGTGTAGAAGATATAATTTTATAACTGGTTTTCGATAAGGTTTTTTATCGATAAAAAAAGATCGGGATGAGTTATCGATTTTTAATGATAAACTTGATATGCGCGCTGTAATTACGGACATTTTAAAAAAAATTTGAAGTCTCTAGCTCTTATATCTTCTGAAATCGACGCGTTCATACATACGGACGGACGGACGGACGGACGGACGGACGGACGGACGGACGGACGGACGGACAGACAGACGGACAGGGCCAAATCGACTCAGCTCGTCGCCCTGATCAAGAATATATATACTTTGTGGGGTCTGCCACGCCTCCTTCTGCCTGTTACATACTTTTAACAAAACCATTATACCCTGATTTCCCATTTTCAATGGGTTCAGGGTATAATTACACTATTCCAACAAGAGCGTAAGATAAACATTATGCTACCTGCTTACGCCTGATAAGCAGTTGGCTCTCAAGGTGGGGGAGACAAAACTTATTATTAGATTAGAAATGAAAAAAATATATTAATCATCAAATATTGTCGCTAGATAGGGAGCCTGGGACCAGTGTACTAGAGAGCGGAGCTTAGTTTGAACTTGATGCCCAGCCTTTTTTTGTGGGGTTCTATGTCTCCGCTTCATGATTCATTAAAATCAAGGTGCAAAAATTGTTTCACATATTCAAAACTGATCTGGAAGGCACTTTTCTTTGAATCAGGCCTACGAAGAGACGATGATGTTTGCGTCAGCGGATGTATCGGATTTGGAATTCGGAATTCGGTATCGGGAATGGGGCATTAGTAATTAGAAATGGAGAACCGACTCCGAGTGCGATTGCAGGTAGCTACTGAGCTATGCAAAATACACAAAAAAGGAAATAAATAAATGTAAAAAAGTCAAGCTACAGCGAAAACTAAACATATAGAAAACTGTTTTTTGAAATTCCTTTTATTTTTCCATTTTTGTTTTCTTTTGGATTACTGATTTCTGACTTCTGATGCCATCGATTTGCATAGCTTTTGAATATATAACACCATGCACGCACTAGGTAGGATTCCGTGTATGAAATATTTATGAGTTCGTCGCCTGATGTTAAATTCAACAAAATGAAAAAACAAATACAACAACAGAAACCCAAGAATGAAAGCAAGGAAAAAACGATTTT